CATACATACATACATACATACATACATACATACATACATACATACATACATACATACATACATACATACATACATACATACATACATACATACATACATACATACATACATACATACATACATATGTATGTATCTATATATATATATATATATATATATATATATATATATATATATATATATATTTAAGGGCCCCGGGGTAGTCACGAGGTTAACGGGCCTCGGGCCCCTGCTTGTAACCGACCGTTCATTATATAAAAAAAATTTAAAAAAATTTAAATATATATATATATATATATATATTTATTTATTTATATTTATATGTATATATGTGTGTGTGTGTGTGTGTGTGTCTTAAACATTTTAAGGAAGCTTGATCGAGACAGAGAAAACTGAGAGAGAGAAGATAAGTTTAAGCCTATTAGGCTACACTTAAAGAAAATGGGCTACACTAAAAAATGGGTTTTTTCAAAATTTTAAAGGGACCCAAGGCATCAAGGCGAGGTAAGGCGCGTTAAGGCGAGGAAAGGCGATGCTCTGATCGCCTTAAGGTTTTCTAGGCGAGGCGAGCAGACAAGGCATCCCAGTGATAGCGCCTTATCGCCTAGGCGACGCCTTACAAACTATGCTAATCAATTTAGAAATCAAAAGGCATGTAACACATAACAAAACCTGATGCCTGAGAACTAGGCTGCTCATCTCCCTTCTCACCAGCAGCAAGCTTTGCCTTCCTGTCCACTACTTCCAACAAATCTGATGTAACAAAAGCACAATATTATTTTCATAGGATTGATGTGAGAATACATATGCTTGAACGAGTTAAGATGCATGTATATATAGTATATCACCAAAATATTGGCTTGCAACATCACCACTTTAAGCCTCGTCTTCAGTCAAATGATAGCCAATTAAGAGAACTATTTCTTGTTTCTAGAACATAATACTCTATCTTCTTTGTGGGCATTAAATCCACCTCCCCCACCCAACCTCCCTCTATCACACAAGAACACAGGTATAGTAGGGCTGAGCATGGACATGTGTTTTACTGTCCAGTGCCGAAGATCCTTTATGAACCATATTGTAAATGGAAGCACCAAAATGTTTTAATACCGTTCCAGACCGTAAGCCTGTAATGATGTTTCCTAAAAGTTATGGTACGGACGTACGGTACTCTTTAGTAATAACAATATCAGAATTGTACCAGGCCAGAACCATTCTGTTCTGTATCATCCCAAAGCATCTCAAAGAATTGAGTATATTAAAATATTAAAAATTAAAATAGTGCATACATACAATCAACACACATGTTTCTTTGTTCCGCGAAGATAGACTTCTACTCCATTTTGGTCTCTCTCACAAGTTAACTTTCATTTCTAGAATTCCAAGATATGAGTATATGACTTATTCCTTATACAAGAAAAAGTGAGAAATGTATATGAGTTAATATTTCCAACTAACTAACAGCTTTTTCTTAACTTAAAAAAAGAACTAATTATAACTAATCTGTCTGCAAATCAAAAAAAAATGAAATAGATGAATGCAGTACACACAATTACCTCAAGTAATCCAAAAGTTAATTATTCTTAAAACTCTAGAAATAATATAATATACTTTCTGCCCCAAAAAAGAATTCAGAAAGGTGCAACTATCGAAAATCATCAACTATTTTTTTAAAAGTTATTTTTTGGTTAAACTAAATTTGAAACACTCAACTTAGACATCTTTTATGAAATATAAAAACATTAAATATGATAAAAATAGTATCTTTTCTTCAATTTGTGTCTTTTTTAGTAATTTTTTTAGAAACATGACACTTTTCAAGGGATGGAGCCTGGTGGGAGTAAATAAACTATCATTACTAAAAAAAAAATTCTTTGTGACTTAATAAATCTTAATAAATTAGTCCAGCATCCCTGAAAGAACTTCACTTTTATTCTTTTCATGGAGTTTAGAAAGTGAAGTTTTTATGTTAAGCTTTCCATTTTACTATTCACATTTATTTTAACTTTTACTCTTTTTTAATGGGAGGGTAGGATCTGCTTTTAAACTCATTTCTCAACCAACTATTGAAAGTTGTATTGTGGAACGGCCTAAAACAAGCAAAAAAATGAAGTTTTTGTAGGAGTTGAGGGAGTGCTTTTAAAAGAGTACCATCGTGAACCATACTGAAAGTTGGTATAGAAACGGCATGTCCCCTTCCATGTTCAGTCTTGGTGTGCAGTCATGAAGTGTTATATTATTACTAACACAAAAACTCATTATGTTTGTCACCAAGTGGACAATAAAGGCAGGAAAACAAAAAAAACACACAAAAACAAAAACCAAATATTGGATAACTAACTCCATTTATTTTTTGGCCAGAACTAATTCAATTTCTATAATTATATGTCAAGGAAAAACACAGTGTGTGGCACCATATGATCTACCCCCTTAACTAATGGCAAATTGCATCGTACATCCGGATGTGACTACTTTTATGTACATCCAGTGAGTATTGTATAACTTGTAAATGTACATACACTAATGTTATGATGTGCACGCTCCGGAGTACGTATAAAAATGGGCAATATTCTACAATTTCATTTTCAAAATTTAAATTTTGTTCTTTTATTGATTGGAAGTGTTATTAGCAAAAAAATGAAAATTTCTTTAAAGTTTTAACAACAAAATGAGCATTATACAATTATTAAATGTGCATGCATCAATCTAATAATGTGCATGCTCTAAATATACAATAACAACCCAATAAAATCCCCCTAAAGTAGGGTCTAGAGAGGGTATGTGTATGCAAACTTCACCCCTACTCAAAAGTTTGTTTCTAAGAACCCCACCCCCCCCATGCGCGCTTAAGAAACATAGAAAGAACACGAAAAAGAAAAGAGAAAATGAAGGGTAAAGAAAAACGCAAAGAGACTAAAAGCACATAAACCGCCGCTCGCAACAAGAGCTCAAGCATAGAAAGCACACATGACAAGAGCAATAACATACTACCAAGTCTTAAACGACTACTCAACTACCATAGTCTTAGATGTCCAAACGCTCATATATAAGGTCATATCCTCGGTATAGTAAGGGCCAAAAGTATTATTAGGTCGTGTCTAATCACCTCCTTCCAATTCTTCCTATGTCTACCCCTTTCCCACCCTCGCCCACTCCCATAAGCCTCTCGCATCTCCGCATCAGGGTTTACACTACACTCCTTCACATGTCCAAACCACCTCAACCTAGCATATACTCTAAATATATGCAAAAAAATGAGAAATGAGTATTCTTTAACTTGTAAATTAGCATATGGCGGATGTCCAATAAACATCGTACATTCATATATTTCGATGTATAAGTATAACTCTTAACTAACATTAGCCCTAAGAAATATGCAATTACAGTGCTCACAGAAAAAGTGAATATATAATGCATGTATACTCACTCCTATCATACTTCTCTGTTAAGAAATGTATAGTAATTCACGTGCATCTCAAGCTGTTGACATTGAAATGTTTGAGGACTGCTCATTTAAGAGAAGTAACCGAACAATTTCAATTAAAACACACACATTTCTACGGAATGTGTGATGGGAAATAAGAATATTCACATTGCAAACAGTGAATGGAGAGGAGCGGTTCTGCAAGAATCGTACCTTCTGCTGCTTTGAGCCAAGACGTCATGACTAGAAAAGCTTGAAATTAGCAGACCCTACAAATCACTAACCATAAATTGAGGGGCGAACAATTTCTGCAGCGGAAGATAAATATCTCAGAGATCGTTGTTGATCAGGGGATAGATTGAAACGATTTTACGATAATCACAATACGAAATGATAAAAAATATCGAAGAAAGTTCGAAGATCCATCAGGATAGTGGCTTAAGTTTTGCGGTCTCCATCGTTAGTTACGCTCTGATCGTCTATTGAAATGGCGAATTGATGAGGGAGAAACCGATCCTGGCGGTCACATATTTAAGTAGGGGTGAGCAGTACCGAACAGATACAGAAGTTTTCCGAAAAAACTGAGAATATCGAACCGAAAAATACCGAACCAAAAAAGTACCGAGAAGGAACCGAACCGTACCGAACCGAATGGTCGGTACGGTATTTGGGAACGGTACGAGGTGACTTCTCATACCGAAAATCCCGAACCGAACATATATACTAAAATATTATAAAAAATAATATCCCAGAGTAATATTTTTATATTCCTTCATTAAATAATAATTTTTTAAAAAATATTGGTTCAAGTTCTATTGTGTGTAAATTATACTTTTATTTGAGTTTTAGTTTTTGTGTATGAACATAAAAGTATTCACAAAGATTCAATATACTCCTTTGTTGTCGTTCATTTTTTTAGTTTGTGAAATATAAACTAAGTTTTGATACGCATCTCTTGCATTTAAATATTCATTTTTTTTAGTTTTTCATGTTTTTTTTATTTAAATTCACTTTTAATTTTCAAAAATAAAGGGGCATTGTTAAGTTTTAAGGTGTAAAGTAGGTATGTATATTCATCCCGATTTGTACCGAAACTGATACCGAACCATCCCGAACCATACCGAACCGATATTTCGGGATCGGGATCGGTACGGAGTAAAATCCCATACCGAACCGAAATATTTGGTACGGTATCGGTACGAGCTAAATACCGTACCATACCGTACCATGTTCACCCCTATATTTAAGAGAAATGCTTTGATTCCATCCAACATTTCAATAAAAAAATAATCTATAATAATTTTAAAATGAGAATTTAAACTATATATGGAGTATAATAAATTTATAAAATTTGTGATCATTTCTTTTTGTAAACCTAACATTAGTCTTTGCTTTTAACTTATCATAATGACTTTTGCTATTCATCAAAAGTTGAATAAATGCACCCAAAAAGAAACTACGGAGTATAAGGCCAAACAAAGTGGTAATAGCATTGGTGCCCCGTGGTTTACAAAAGAAGCGCCAAAATTCTCATTTCTTTCCAAAGTTATTTGTAAAAAGAGAAATCACCCTAAATAGAACTAAAACAGAGAGATTAGTACCAAAATAAGACTTTCATGTTTTTTCCCCAAAATATGACTTTGAACTGTGGTAATGTGACTTTGCACTATAGTAATGTGGCAGTGTACATGTGCACATTACTATACGTTTTTGGTAATGTATACGACCATGTTTGGTAACGTAAGTCTTATTTCGGAAATAAAAACATGAAAGTCCTATTTTGATATATTTTCAATGTTTTAGTCATATTTTGGTCTTTCTCCCTTTGTAAAACCTCCGTGGTTTTTAAATAGTACACAGATGCTCCATCTTGCCTATTTGTAGACACGAAATGACATTTCTACTATTTGTTTTTCTCTAGCTTCAAGTTTTACTCTTTTATTTACATTTTTTGTTATACAAATAAATAAAATTAAAAAAAATAAAAAAAATCATGTATTTAATTTTCAAAAAAATAATTTTTTTAGAAAATGTTATAAAAGAAAATGAAAAATTAAAAAATGAAATAAAATACACTTTTTATTATAAGTTAAAATAAATAAAATAAAAAAATACATATACTCTCTCTCTCTCTAATTAAAAATTCTAACTTATTTGTTTTTTAAAAGTAAAATAATATTTTAAGGACTTTAAAAACGGAAGAACAGAAAGATAAAATAAAATACGGAGTTAAAGAAAAAGATTGTTTTTTATATTTTTCTTTCTTTTCACTACCTTTTCAATTATTACTTTTACTTTGTACATAGTATTTTATTTTTCATTTTCTTTTATAACATTCTCCAAAAAAATTATTTTGTTTCCAAAAATACATTATGAAAAAATATTAGTTTGAGATGGAAAGCGTTTATTTTATTTTATACGGAGTATATTTGTATAATAAAGGAAAATAAAATAGAAAAAATTCAATATCGCAAAAAGAAAGGTTATAAATGTCATTTTTACTTTAAAAATAAGTAAGGGAGGCATGTATGCTCTATTTAAAAATATTGGCCACGAGATTGGGTTGTAGCGGCAAAAAATATGATATTTTCCGATCTTAGGGGCTGCTTTCTGCCCGGAAAAATGGTACTCATTTTTTTCTGTTCCTCTCCATTAAAGCACTAAACTACTCTGTAATGCTTACAGATTGATATCGTGTTTTGTTTTATGGACTGACTTTGCTCTCCCACACCGTATATATGACCACATTTTTCCTTTCTTCATAAAGAACCATCCAAATGAATATGTTGCCTTGCTTGGTTATTAAATAATTTGTAGTCTTTGAGATCACGAATAAAGAATGGTGACTCATTGAGACTCGAAAAATCTTTAATATAAAATTTTAAGAATATACAAGTCATCATTCTTTATTCGTGATCGAAAAATTACATATTATATTTTTTATTGAAATTTTAAACAAATCTTTTATCTTTTATATACAAATCTGAATCCCTGACGATAAGAATTTGACATGGATATTATGAATTTTGTGATTCATCAAAAGTTGATTGGATATACACATCATATCTATGTTTAATCTTTCATTTTTAATGTATTCGGAAACTCAAAACGGTCAAAGTAAAGGAAAGGAAGGAGTATTTCTTGTATATGGTATAACAATCATCTGATATCCATTTTAATATAAAAATATATTAGGTACAAATATTTGTAAGTATTTACATAAAAATATATTTATGGATTATATTAAAAAAAGCTCCGAAACGGAATGCCACGTACATGACCTATTTAATTCACCTTCATGAGTCAATTTGAACAGGATCTTTGACTCAAATTTTGCGTATAGAATTGGCACGTCTAAATAGAGGAAATAACACAAGTACTCTTCGTGGCTTGGAAAATAGGGATCAACACTACCACTATTTTCAAATTTATTTCTAAAGTTCTCCTCGTTTCAAAATGTTGCACTCATATCTCCTCTGATAATTTTGAGGTAATTTTTCCAGCGAAGAGAGGGCAACAACAACAACCCAGTTGAATCCCATAACAGTAGGGTCTGGAGAGGGTGTGTGTACGCAGACCTTGCCCCTACTCGGAAGTAGGGAAGAGGCGTTAGTGTCTATTTTCCAAACCATAGGGGACACTCGTTCTCATTCTTATTTTTTCATCTATTTTTTGTTTTCCCCTTTTTTCTTTATTGTTTCATTTGTCCCTCACCCCCTCCATTACCACATAAATGGGCAAGAATTTTAAAAAAAATTAAATAAATAAAAAATTGATTATTTTTTCTTAATCAAGGTTGGCTAAATTTCTTTTTAAAGTTATTTTTATAAACTACCTCTTTATAAAAGCAAAAAGAAAAAAATCCGGCCTAAAATTGGTGCAAGTATTGGGTCGGGTAGCTCTCTTTTTTTCTTAAAAATCAGGTTGTAACCCAAATGTACACCACTTCCTCTTAATCATTTATTTTATTTTATTTTTATTTTTTATTTTTTTGAATTTTTCTAGCCTTTTTTGTATGGTGATGGAAGGGATGAGGATGTTTGGAGTACACTTTTGGTGTACTCTAGCATTTTCCAAAATATTGAGTAGAAGTTAGAACCGCAGATTCTCAACCTCCACTACCATCAACTGTCTGGTCCTCATATGCTCAGAATTTGGTTTGTCTACTGTTTAGAGGAGATCGATAGAAGAGTCTCGGAAAAGATAGAGGAACCGACTCACCGCTACTCAGAAGCATCGATCTCCACAACTTCCATTTTCCATTTCGAATTGATTACTCCGTAACATTGATTCTTCAAAGTTAGAGTTTGAGTATGTTAATTTTGGTTCCTCACTTCATCTTCCATATTTTTGCATTTGAATCATCTCAACCAATTTTTTATCTCTAAATCTTTATTCTTTATTTGTTTAGGTTAGTAAATGAAATATTTGTTTGCTCTATATTAGAAGTGTGTAGGATCAACCTAGGGTTCAAGTCTAGCCTCTGCGCGCAACACAAAAAAGATGACAAATTTAGAGAAAAGGTAAATTATCTTCTTCATTTTCTTTTACTCTGTAATTTTTTAGATATTTATTCAATTTTCAGATATTGGAGACACTCTCCTTCTAAAAAAAATTGTTTTTCCATTCAATTTGATTATTTATTCAATTCTCCATTCAATTTTCCTAGCTCCTTGAAGCCAATCATATCCCTTGCTAATAGTGTATGGATATTGTCTTGCCATGTTTGCAAATTTTTCCTTCACTCTCATCATTTCCTTCCAGTAGTGGCAAGAATCCTGCTTAGGCTTATAAGTCCAGAAGTCACACTCTTTAATATATCTGGCGTGTATCCATCTAACCCAAAGGATTGTCCTTCTTTCCAGCTATGTCCAAACAACATTCATGATGGCTGCATAATTCCAGTTCATCACATTCCTTATACCTAGCCCACCAAACTTCTTTGGTTGGCAAACCTCATTCCAGTTGACCAGGGGGGACCTTCTTATACTCTGATGTACCATTCCATAAAAAATTCCTACAAATGGTCATAATTCTCTTCATAACACCTTTGGGTAGAATAAAAATTCTAGCCCAGAAGTATATCACTCCCATCAACACTGAATTAATGAGTCTAATCCTGGCCATGTAAGAGAAGTGTCTTGTCCCCCACACAGTTATTCTGGAGGTAAGCTTACTTACCAATGCATCACAATCCTGAGCCCTCAATCTGGAAGTAGTAATGGGAGAACCCAAATATCTGAAGGGGAATTTACCTGACTTCGTATTGGTTATATTTAAGAGCCTCTCCTCTGTGACAGTATTAATTCCACCAAACACTACTTCAAATTTGTTTTTATTAATCTTCAGCCCAGTGGAGTTATAGAATTCTTGAAAGACTCTCATAATGCCCTCAATTGATTTAGCATCTGCTTTACAAACTACAATAAGGTCATCAGCAAATGATATATATA